CACCTCATAGGTTTGATGCCCCATATTGACCGAACCTTGCAATGAAACGAAAGGGATCAGGTGCCAGAGACCTTTGGTTCCCTTTTGGGACAACTGGACATTATTTGGCTTTTTCGGACGTGTGTGTTTTTAGGGGACAACAAACAAAATGAGGTAGCCTCAAAAACATACCCCCATTTGGCACCCAGAACAGGGACCCAGGGGATGGTACTGTGTCAGCGATCAGCGAGATTCTGAGCATGTTGCTGGTGTCGCCCTGCAAAAAGTCGAGCCGTTGCTGGTCAAAGACAACAAAGGACACTTCCATTTGCTTAAGCCCCCTGGAAAAAAATACACATAAAAATCCAGTAGTGATAGAATCCCTTTAAAAACAAGGGACAAATATTAAGCAAATGGAAGGGCACCAAGGTGCAAACTGGCAAAAAAGGGTTAGTTAAGTCCGGCATTGTTTGATTGGCTTCAGCTCCCCATTCTCAATCTCATTCTGTCCCTGGCTCGAGTCCTTGCATTCCTGTTCCAAGCTCCCCCCTCAACAGCAAAGGGCTTCAACTCTTCTGACCTGTCTGAAGGGGAAGCGGTGGTTTCTGAAAGGGGGCTGCACACCAAACTATATCAATATCTCTTGCTGCAGCAAGACCTGGTCAAATCGACCCGTGCAATACGTGGAGCTGTTTGACTACTAAAGGTCAGAGACACCACACTTCAACAGATGTTGCATGTTTAAGGTTCAAAACATGGAGGTAACCAAGTCAAAGGTTGTGATTCAAGGCTGGGAAGTCGTGTGCCAGGTCAAGAACCAATAAAAAACAAAAACATTTTCAACTTACGCCAAGCATCTGCGGATCCAACTGGAGATGCAAGCCACCTGGAACATGCCAATGACGAAGCCAGCCTGGCACTTGGCTAGGGGAGCTCAGGAGTTCTCTCCCAGAATTCTTTTCAGAGGGCGTGGCATTCGCTGCATCTACCCAAAAAAAAACACTCACTTGCCCAAAGGGCCCTGAAACGCAATGTCAATTTAAGGGGCAACATAATTGCACACGGTGTGCTATGCTTTATGACTTAAGTTGGCTCTCGAGTTCTTATAACCATATTATCATGTTGGTTCAAAACCCAAGATTTCAAGAGTTGTCTTTCTGTCCCAGCCATCGGCAGCTCTGGAGGACAACAATAAAGTGTGAACGATTGAAATGTTGCCATTGCACAAGGCAAGCTTGGGGCCGAAGGACATTATCCTACTTGGGTGTTCGGCCAAGCAAGTTGTTGGCAACTTATAGGTTATAACCCGCTTATCAGTCCCATTGGAGTTAACCTTGTGGCTATCGGGTAACACAGGTGGCCAACGACTGACTAACTTGGCCGAGCATCCAAGTATGTAAGGCCGATAACTGGAAACAACAGTTCAGAGGATTGGCTGCAAACATCTTGCTCCACTTGTTTTGATCCGCAAGACCGGCATTCGCAATCCCTGCTACCGAGGGGGAGAGTCACGACCGGGAGTGGGAGAAAACTGGAAGGAGCCAGCTCGGGGTTGTCCTTTTCACACCCGACTGACCACCATGGGCACCACCATGGCACGAAGACAACATGCAAACACTGCAAAGCTTGAAACTGCTTTTTAACTTGTCACACCAGGGCAGGGCAAGGGACGCCATCCCCTCGCATGGAAATGCCCTATCCGCCGTGTTAACCATGCCGGCCCAAATCTGATGCGGCCCATTTTGCAGTCATGGCAGAGTCCTGAACTTTGAAACAACCTTACAAAAACAAGTCCCTCCTCCCCACAAGCATAGAGGCCACCAAAGGGTCTCCCAAACGAGGAGAAGTGTCCCCCAGGACCCCAGCCGAGTTCCAAGTTAGCGAATGGCAGGGAAATGAAGGTGGCACCACAACCCCGCCAGGGGCCTCAGGCCCACGGCTGGGCAACCTCTTTAGCTTCCAACAGCGGGTCCTTTGAGTGTGAAGTGCAGCCTCGCGGCCACCTACTTGGCTTCTTTGGAGCCCAGTTCCTGCTGAGTCCCGAGACATGGTTTTGGTTTTGGTCTTAGCTTTTTGTCACAAGTAGACCTGGAGACGTCAAGGACACCCACACAATTGCTGTCAGGGCCTGAGCCTCTAACAAAGGCGATGTATATGGAGACCATATACTCCCCTTATTGGCCATGGGCAGTCATTGGCAGGCGTGGGTGCGGAAACCCCGTCAGATCACGTCATGTCAACCATGTCACACCCAAAGTTCGCATTCAAGCAGCGAGGATCCCCGTCAGCATGCCACTGTAGGAGCTGCCTGCGTGTGTGCTCGTTATGACTTGGCCAGAGGAGACGGCTTCCCCAAGAAAATATCTGGCTGTGGCTCCAAAAACCGGTGCCAAAGAGGAACCCTGGTAAGTGGAAACATGGACCAACACCTGCGGTTTGCCCCTCGTGTTTCATTTTGAGCCACTCCCATATAACTTGGGCAAGCAAACGGGCATGAAGGAAACCCCAAAGAGTTTCCACATAGGTGACTCCTCTTGCCTTTGCGCCGGTGAGCTGTTGGCCCTCTCAAGGTGCGACCTGGCTTGCCTAGGGCCTCCAGTAGAGGGCTTCGAATAAGGGTACATTTTGTTTCTGTAGTCTGTTTTAGTAGGGAACCCTCTCAACCAAAAATGGGGTGAGAAAGGTTGCATGTCCGTCAACTTCAATGACGTCAGGACTTCCCCCGGGCCCGGAAATGAACCGTCCACGTGGCAGGGGAAGGGTCCAGGGGTAAATCGAAAGCAGGAAGATCCTCTGAACACCAATTGTCCAGTCAGGCTCCCAAACTCAGTTGTGCAGTGACCCTAGAAGAAAAGGGGGTACCCTCAAAAAAACACTCGCATTGCCCGCCATCCCTGGAGTTTCAGGATCGGATTCATCTCTGTGTCCATGGCTCACTTTCTGCAATTTTTGCCCCAATGCACGAAACGTTATCTTGCTGGCTTATCAAGGCGAAGGACGTGTTCAAGCGCATGGGGTAATCCCAGCGGACTCCCAGGGCGAAAGGTCTCTGCTTCGTTTTCCGCCACGCATCTGCCAGCAAATCGGGCCCGCTTGTCACTGTACAAGGGACCGGGGTCTCGGTGAATTCGCCCATCTCTTGCCTTGAAGGCAAAACATCGACGTTAGATGTTTATTCAGCTGGCAAATGCAAGCAAACATGACGGCTTGTACGACTGTGGGTGAGATTGGTCTAGAGGAGTTACACAGTTTTTAGGTCCTCCAGTAAAGCGGTTAGAATAATCCGTTCCCCCTATTAATGAATGACTTCAATTAATAAAAATAATCGAAATCCGGGGCCCGGGACCAGATTTCCACTCCGCACAATTGATTTCTAATTGAGCCAATACTAAACCCTTACTAAAGTCTTGGAATCCTTATTAGGGGGCACTTTTAACAAGCTTCCAGCCCTACTTTTAAAAAGGTGGGTTCTCTAAAAGGTTGTTTCCCCAAAAGGTGGGTTCCCCAAAAGGTTGTTTCCCCAAAAGGTGGGTTCCCCAAAAGGTTGCTTCCCCAAAAGGTGGGTTCCCCAAAAGGTGGTCCTGCCTGGCTGCAAACAAACAACCAGTAAACTAAACAACAAATAGAATGATACATACCATTTCCTTATTAAACCGCTTACTCGCGGACCTTACAATTCAATTCATTTCCTCCAAATCCTATGTGAACCCTCGCATTGTTGGAAAAAAACAAAAAAAAACAACCCCAAAAACCCCAATTAAAAAAATAATATATTTGTGGGAGGAGTTTTTTTATAATTGGGGGGGGGTATTTATTAATAGGGGGAACGGATTAAGGGTTTTTTTTTCTTTCTTTTTTTTCTGTAGTCTATTTTAGTAGGGGAACCCTCCCCAAAAAGAAACGGTGAAAGGGCACCTAGCTGGGGGACCTAGTTGTGGGGCCGGGGTCCATGTTCAATTGGAGAGGAGGCCAGTCATTCGCTGTGGCTTCGGTGGGAGGGAATGGACAAATCCAAGCCACCAACCTCCAATCCAGGTCAGCTGGCAGGGCTTCAAATGAGTGCAGTTTCCCGGAAGTCTCCGATCAGCTTCCACTGCTCTGGATGCGAATGCAGGCAATCAACTGCTTCAAATCGTTTTTGTTTAGCCAGTTTGGCTCCTGTTCCCTGAGAAACATCAGTCTATCAGTCAAAAGCTTGAAAGCTTGGTTTTGAGCGAGCCAGGCAAAGACTACTCGACTGAACAAACACTGACGCTGCAAACACAAGCGAATGCGTTTTAAGCGGCCAATCCTATGACCCACATACCTGTAGGGCGGAAGAGTCTGAACGGCCCTGTCAGGTATGTTTTTTTTTTTGGAAAGACGAGTGATGGTTACCCTATGCCAACTCCTCCCATGTCCATGCAAACAGCTGGGGTTTTGCGAAACCCGGGTCCGCTTCTGGATGCCACAAATGCGGAAGCAATGGAGAACACCAATAGCGTCCTCCGGAAAATCCAGAGGCACCTGCCTGGCGACGCACTATGTCATGCTCTGAAGCTGAACATACTAAGCCTCCCAATTCCCAACTAGCATCTAGCAGCAAACTTTGTCCGAACCAAGCCAGCAGACGATGATTTATGATCATGTGAGGCCGTCCTCTACCAGTGGCGCTACGATCAAGCAGCAGAAGGATTCAACCAGCTGCAAATGAAAAACATGGATTTTGATAACAATAAGGCTCCACAAGTAGACTCTATTGCAGGCCAACTTTAAGAATTCCACCCATTGAATCCCATTGAGGACTGCCGCTGGATGCATTCAGGGTCTGGCAAAATTCGAGGAACACATCGTACCTTGAGGCCCTGGTGAAAGGCCTGTAGCATGAAAACAAGACATTGTCCTTGTAAGTTGAGCATGTCTGCTCTGCCCAAACCAATCATACTTGGATGTGTCTGTCGGCAACCTCGAATTGATTGGTTTATTTGTGGTTTCCCTCTAGGCACCGTCAAGGGCGTGATAAAATACCGGACGCGGGCATTTCAATCCTGAAGGAAATCCTAACCGAGTGCCCAACTAGATCAAGCATGGCAGAATAATGGAAGATTCAATGGAGTTGCCAAACAACCGTCTAAAGCCCCAAAAAGTTGACAGCCCAAGAACTCACAAAATGAGGCCAACCTTTTCCCTACAAAGAACTGCCCAGTGGCAACAAACCTCACTCACCCTCAAGAAACCTCATAGCTAACTCCACACATCAATCAATGCAGCTCATGGTCCAAACCGCTCCAATCCCCCAAAAAGTCACCAAAGTCCCAGAACTCAAAAAGTGAGGACCACCTCTTCCATGCCAAGCAAGGAAGAAAAAAGAAGAAGAAAAAAGAGAACCGCCCGGCCGCTCTTCCTCCGCCTCTCGCCCGGCCGAGTCGCAACCAGCCAGAGACCTTCTGCCGCAAGGCGAGCTTATGCAGCTCCATGGCCTGCTCCAGCTTGAGGTCCCCGAGGCCACGCTGCCAGCCGCTGAAGCCGGACCTGACCAAGGCCATTCGCACGTGGCATTGTGCATGCCGTGTGATAGAGAACGAGACGGCTGCCAGCAATGCAGCCCTGGCATTGTCACCACCCACCTCGACCGGTTTGCCTCCAGCTGCGGAAAAAAACAAATTAAGGTCCAACCTGGCCCGGTGAAATCGAGGTTTTTGGGGGGAAAATAGTTCGGGGAAGGACCAAGAATGTAGTCCTACAAGATGTTCCTTTGTTACATTGCCCCTGATGGATTCCCTTTAAAACCCGGGGGCAACCAACCAAGATTCTCAAGGAAATGGACGGTTTGGACCCATGGAACAAAAGGTGATCACCTTTTTGGATCCACGAAACATAGTTGCCGACGTGGGTTTTCCCAACAGGTCAAACGGTCCGCTCGCTCGGGGCAACTGAGGGCAAAAGTCATGAGAACCGGTGATAGATCCCAGTCCGCGTTTCCGCAGAGTGTCCTACTCATGAATAGGAGGGGTTCATTCATCCGGGATCCACATGAGATGATGGCTAGCCCAGATGGGTCTGGCTGGAATGCATTCCTTTAAGCTGCTTGCATCGTGAGGGATTGATCACCACTCTCCTATGTGGCCATGGGTCAAAAGCTCGTACCCCCGGTGAACATCCCAATCCCCAGTAAAATAAACTAAAATGGGTGGTAAATTCACCTGCCCCAAAATGGGATCCCATTGGTTTTGACCCACAGCCATCTAACTAAGATACAAGTTAAGACTGGGGAACTGTGCCGTCCATTTTCACCCGCCCCTCAAAAACTGCCCCGCGCAACCTGGAAGCCCAAACCCATTCTTTGAAGCACGTTTTTGGAGGACCTTCCCAAGAATGGCCCCGAATTGGGTTTCGAGCTTCTCCAAAGTCGCAGTTGGAAGGCTAACCCACTCATTACACCCCCAATCCTGGACAGGGTTTTGAGAATTTTCCACACTTCGTGATGTGGATATGGGTCAAAATTAAAGCACCAGGGGACCGCAGGTTTTAGTCGACGTGTCCATTTACCAGGGTTCCATTTGGGGTACCGATTTTTGACCCACAGCCATGTAGAACCTGACAGGAAGTGCTTCCTTGGGGACCTGACGGATGCGCTGCAGGTTTGTGAAGCTTGCGGAGAACCCGGGCCCATGGATCATATCTGGGGTGTCCGCAGATCCCCCGCTGCAGTGAATTACTTTTAGTGGGTGGAATGATGGAGTCCAACCACTAAACACTACTAAAAAGGTCTAAAATATCAAAAAAGCTGAGGAACCGGATGGCAGGGAGACGCCAACTAGCTCCTCCAGTAGGGGGAACCCTCCCAACCAAAAAATTCGGAACGGCCAAAGGGGAACCTGGCTGGGGGACCTGAAATGCGGAGAACTGGGTGGCCACTGGGCCTTCCAGCCTCGAGGCCACCATGAGACCCACCTCCAAATCACCCGGGAATGGGGGCAAAGGCCTCAGGAAGGAACCAGGCTGTGGCTCAAAGTGGTAAATGGCACCCTGGCAAATGGAAGCCATACCCAGGTGGCTCTAAGATGGTAACCCCAAACCCCATGGGAATTGGGGCAAACAAGATGTAATTCGCGAAATTGGAAGCTTCATTCCAACCACTGCTTGGAAGGTTCATTCTTTACCCTCCCTCCTGCATTCAGGGGGGTCTTTTTGCCACCTTCGGTGGAAAAATGATCGACCCCCTTGCAGTGAAGCATTGAGGGGGTCGCCCATTTTCGCCCAAAAGGTGGCAAACAGACGCCCCCTGCCTGCGTTCCCCTTGGAGCCATAAGTTCCCCGTCGCGGCCTCAGCAGCTGCCGGGCGTAGTGCCGCAGCGCCTGGCGCCGGCGTGCTGCCGCGGTGGCCGCCGCAGCACGGCGCCAGCGGCGCAGCGCGAAGCAGCGCCGCTGGCGGCGCAGGCGCGACACTCCGCAGGCCTCAGAGGCAGACGCGGTTTGAACGCGACCAAACCTTCCGCCCAACGGGCAAAGACTAAGGGCTGGGAAAAAGAAATCAAGAACCAGTTTGGGGAGGTTGCCTTGGCAAAATGGAAAAAATATTCCACTGCGTTCCCCCAGCCAGCCCAAAGAATCTTCACACTAAAAAGGGATCAGAGGCAAAAGCTGGCAGCAGTCAGCCTCCCCAAAAGTTGACAAGTTGTTGCGCTCGTCTGACCCCAGTCGCCATCCTGAACCCTCCTGTCAGCTTCCATGATTGCAGGCATGGAGTTAGTGCGACCCCAGATTCAACTCGAACCTGGCAACTGAATTGGGTGGCGCAACGCCCCAAAGAGATTTGCTTCTCACAACTAAAACTGGCACACCGGACCTATTAACCTATCTATTCTGGGTTCATTTACGCCCATGTCGTCCAGAAAAAGCTTTGTGGGCACTTGTTTCATCGTAATTTCAGTGTGCAATGTTACCCCCGGATTGACGAAATACACCCCTGGTTGCTTGTGTGGGCGCTGCCCCCACCAGTGGGAATCCTTTGTAGGTGCCAGCCTCAGAGCCAACACCCCAATGGCGACAAAAAACAGTCGAAACACGACAACTTCGCGGGGGATACGGGAGAAGCGAACATGTCCGAGGAGTCCCTGCAAAGGACACCATGTCACAGAAAGATGCCCATCCCAATTTTGTTTGGAATCTTTGGTTGTGGGAAACGGGTCCACAAAAGAGTCACCCGAAAAAGAAAAACAACCATGAAAAAGTGATCGCCACGGTTGGGGGGGCAATGGGGGCAGAAGCGGGGCCTGCTCGCGAACATATGAGCGTACCCCGACCCCGGTCACACTGGAGCGCACGGCCAAATCTTTGCAGGGTTGCTCGCAGACTTTGAGTGGCCCGGGAGCCCTGCAAAGTAAAACTGAGAGAAGTTCCTAAAAAAACAAATCTACCTTAGCTGTCAGACCAAAAAACAAGTGTTGGATTCTGGCCCAGAGTCTTCTTTTTGTCTGGAAGACCCAGGCGGGCCAAAAAAAAACGTGGATTCGTGCCGGAGAGAAATGGGCACTGGAAGACCTTGCGGGCAACGCAAGCCGGCCACGCCGGCCTCGAGGTGCTGGAAGTGCCATGCCAGGAGACGAAGCCAAGAGACGAGGCAGAGGAAGAAGTGCCGCCTTTCGACTTCGAACGCCTCTGACTCTGACGCCTCACAAAGAAGCCCCTAGGTCCTCCAGTAGAGAGGTGAGACAGAAGGGTACCGTTTCTGCTTTCTGTAGTCTATTAAACAAGGGGTGACTAGACAAGGAACCTGCGTGGAATCGATCGGTTTTCAAAGAACCTGAGCCACAAACAAAACCCGTGGCATTCATGTATGCTCGAGCACACTGACATCTGAAACTGCGAGGTCCAGCTGAGTTTTTCATCAAAACCCGGCAACGAAATATAGGTCCTCCAGTAGAGACGTTAGAATAACGGTACTTTTTCTGTAGTCTATTTTAGTAGGGGAACCCGCCCCCCAAAAAAGGATAAAAAGGAACGGTCAAAGGGCACGACTGGGGGACCTAGTACCCTTCATCTACCCGAATCTTTACTGAGCCTCGATGGCCCGGCGTATCATTCGTCCTAGCGCACCGAAAGACGTGGCTTGGTTTCAGCTGATCCGTTTCGGTAGCTATGAGTGAGTCAAGTCTAAGTTGCCCACGTCTGCCCCTAGTGATCCCCAATTCGCTCCCATTCTTCTTTCGGGGTGGGAATGCATGAGAACCCCTCAACATGTAATCACAATTTCCTTCCCAACAGTATCCAAGAGTAACTATTGTTGAGACCCCTCATTTCTTCCATTTGCCTAAGCCCCTAGGAAAAATAAACATAGATAGATTCCCTTTAAAACCACCAGGACAAAATAAAATTGAAATATAAAAATATTAAGCAAATGGAAGTTGTTTTGTTCACTCGAAGGGACCAAACACGCGCCAGGCTCTTCGGCCCGCGCCAGGCCCGCCCTTTGCGGCGCCTGCCAAGCCAGGCGGTGGCGAGGTGGGCGCGGGCCAGGCGTGCCGAAAGCTCCGCGCAGCGCAGGTGAAGATGATGCGAGACCCAGCAGCGCAGGCAAAGCTTCAGCAGCCTTCAGGAGGAGGAGGGGGGTGGGTCCCCAAGTCCATTTATCTAGTCTTCCCCATGAAAGGGAAAATGTGTTGCCACAAATGGAGATCTCCAGGAGTCACCCCCCTCCCCAATCCCATTTTTAAGGGGGTGGGCATGCCTGAATGTCTTTATATGGGTTCTGTCCACCACAGCAGGGTGGTGTTGGAACCAAGGTGTGATGTTCGATTGCATTGCATCAAGATTGACTGAACCTCGGTGTACAGCAAGTTTTCGGACATGCTTCGCGTCATGTTGAAATGCGCTTCCTTCGGGTTGTGTGACGCCCACCACCTATTTCTGGATCAAGAGGTGAAAGGTGGAGTGAAGATGTGTGACATGAAAGCCATTCCTTCTCTCCCTAACCTGTCCCTGTCTAGCCCACGATGCAAGTAGGTCCAAAGAAATTATTTGGGGGAGGTTTGGTCTGGGAACCAAGCCCTACCGCCTGCAAAGGCATGGGATCCTGGACCCCTCGATTAACCTTCGATTTCCCCCGAAGAAGCGAAGTACACAACGTTGATCATGCGTCCGGAGCAGTTGTTGCGCTATGCTTGGATATAGTCCAAAGGTCAGGGCGTCCACCACGTTGGGCATGCCGACAAGTAAACGCAGAGGGGTTGGATCCGCAGGACTCCGCAGCATTCTGCGCTGAATTCACTCGGACGAACATCCCTCATCCTAGACCGGACTATTCTTCAGTGCAAGAAGACAGGACGCAATGCTAGGGGTCCCTAAAACTCCTTTCAGGGGGGTCACCGATTTATCGCGATTTTTCAGCGAAATTGGTGGCTGGTATTCGCGTAGAGGCTTGGAGGCTTTTCAACCAGCCAGACCCCTTCTCCCAATACAATTGGTTGTTTTAGGCCTTGCTCCCCATCAGACCCGGAAGAACTTCCCCCAATGACTAAACAAGTTCAACAGTTTGAAGGAAGGTTTGGTGCTTGGACAAATCAGCGGATGTGGAAGGGCAATGTTGGCTGATTCATAACACACCAGCCATTCAAGGAGCCCGGTCCTGGAAGGAACCCCCCCACAAAAAGGAAGGGGACACCCCTCCACGTGACATGGGATTGATTTCCTAGACCTTTGCTTGATACTTTCCCTTCCAAAATCAGATATGGGTGTCTTTTTTGGGTGACCTCCCAAACTGCCTTCGTTTTACCTGTTAATCCTCCTTCAAAACCACCAACAAACAATGGGAAAAAAAGAGGCCCATGGGGAAACAATGAAAAAAGCAACCTCCAAAAAAGACCCATGCGAAAAAAGCCTTCAGACCCCGGCCCCCCCCCCCCAAATCCCCCCGCCGCTGCTCGCTCGGCCTGGTGCGGCGCTTGGACAGCGCCACCAGCTCCAGGAACTTGGCGCCGCTGAGCTGCTGCCGCCAGGCGAGCCTCGAGGCTTTGGCTCGAAACGCCTTCGAGGCTTTGGACCAGGGCCGCCCTCCCCCAATTTCGGCATCAAAGGGGTGGCTGAAATTGGTTCCTCCAGTTGCTGGAGGTTGGTATGGCAACCCCAGGGTGCTTCGTAAGTGGCTAGTAAGCCTGGTTACCCAGAAGACCTGCGACCATGGCAAGTGGGTGAACTACCGAACTTTACAAACCACCAAGTGCCCTGCGCCCTTAGCGACCTTCCCCATTTTGGCTTCTCAAGTTGGTTCCTCTTGGAGCCCGGCGGTTTGGAGATGGCGTTGCATAGGGATTCAAATGGCTTGACGCGGAAAGTATCCTCTTAAGAATGGGGTGGCTCAAGAGGTAGCGGTGGTACTTTGCTTTGGATTGAAGGGGAAAAGGGCATGAACCGCAAGTTAGACTCGCGCGCCCCCTTTAGAATCATGGAGGAAGGGTTTTTGCAGGACTACTTTCTTTTGGGGGAACCCTAATGTCCAATTCCATGGTTGTTGGACAGAGGGCACGGGTGCCAGCCTTTTCAAGGATAAAGTGGGGCTGGCATTCGCCCGCCACAAAATAGGTGGGTAATTCGGTCCCCCAACTTCATGTTCTTTCCTGGGGCTTCCTCATGGAGAATGCTTGGCATACCTCACAAATGAATCAACGGCATCTTCACAGCGGCTTTCGCCCCAACCCCCCCCCAAAAAAAACAAAACTTGCTTGAGTTCTGGCTCATATCTAGCAAACTTCTGACCATGCAAGGCAAATCCAACAGAGATCCCAGGTTCGACGGTTCGATAGAATTTGCCATGAGGACAGAAACCAAATGACCACCTTGCCACTTGGCTGGAATTAGGACCCCAGCAAAAAATACTGTATATTTGTGTGCCTGGTTCGTGGAAAACAAAGGCACCCCAAAAAAGCAAAAAAAGAAAAAACGGGGAGTAATTCTGGGGAAGGCCTGTTGGTTTCAAAGGGGCATCCCTCTTTTCGGCTGCCTCAGCTCAAGGGAATCCTTCCCCGGTAAGCAGGATCCCTATTTCCATGTTCACTTTAAGCATCACCCCCCCGAGGAAACTCAAACTATCACAGCAGGTCAGGTCAGGGTGTTCAAAGTCTCAAAGAACACAACACATGCTCATCCCCTTTTTTGCTTAGAAAACTCGGGTTTAAGGGTTTGAGGGTTTAAGGTTTGAAGGTCACCCTCCCCCAATTTCGGCGTCAAAGGGGAGGTAGAAATTGGTGGTTCGTCCAGTTGCTGGAGGTTGGTAGGTGTGGAGGTGTGGCAACCCTAGGGTTTGAGGGTTTGAGGGTTTCAGGGTTTAAGGGCCTGAGTACCAAAATGGGAGACACAGAAACCTGCCGAACCAAAGCCAAGTCGCCAAATGCGGATGCACCGGTGCAGTGCGCACAGCTCGTCAGCTTGCCTCTCCTCAAGGCCGGCTATTCTTTGGTAAACCGCACAAACTTTTTAGCAACAGGTCCGTAAACCGGACAATCTGGAAAAACAAAAACAAAACAAAAAAAACATCATCCGCAAAACCAGTTTCACCAAACGCATGCTCCCTCAACCACTTCTTCCCTAAGCTTGGCAAGGGTGGGTTTGGACCTTTGCAGCAGCTTCCTCGCGGAGCTTTCAGTCCCCAAACCTGCAAGCCACCGTCCAAACCGCACAAACTCAGGGCGACGTGACTTTTTGTTCACCAGGCGCCTCGAGCCAACCTCTGGCAAAAAGATGTTGTGCACTGGCCAATGGGTGGGACACTCAACCAAACACACCCCTCGGGTCCAATGAAGTGATTTTTGTGGTTCGGTGGTTCGGGCCGGCTCCCATGCGCCCTCTACAAGAACCAGGGGTTCAATTCCACAAATCCAAAAGCATCAGCTGAGGGATACCTTCATCCACCAAAAGCAAAGGTGCCAAGCGATTTTCCCCATTGGCATCTGAGGAAGGAAGGCTTTTTAGGGATCGGCATATCTTGAGGTTCCCCGAACCAAGGGACACCTGGCTGCGAGCCCAAAATAGGTAGCCAAAGAGGAACCCTGGTAAGTGGAACCATGGACTAAAACCTGCGGTCCCCTGGCTTAACTTTCTAGGACCTCCAGTAGAGTACCCTTTTTAGCAGGGGACCCTTTGCAGGGGACTGAAACTGAGTAGGTTCCTGTTGGTTGCCCTTGAGCCACCCGCCAAAAGTGGATTCCCATACCCGGTTCTGTTCTGTTTCTTTTCTTGACAGCTCGGATTCATAAACCTCTCAAAGGTTAGAAGGTTCATCACTTTTGATGCTTCTTGGATCCTTCTTGCCTGGAGGAAGGTGCGCAAACTTCAGTTTGACCCATAGCCACCTGAGCCACAATCAAAACCCGGTATTAAAATGGTGAACCCAGAACCATGCTTCAAGAATTAAGAAGGCGGATATCCGCAGCTATTTGTGGCTGGGACTGGCCCTTACTAACCTAGGTGTCCTTTTAGGGGAAATAGATGGGTTTCCCTGGTAGATGAGCAAAAACCACCAGGTAAAGCACGGAAACCCATCTATTTGTTCTACCAAAACAATCAAAAAGGACACCTATGCGTACTAACCTTCATCTACCCTCGGTTTTGAGGACGTGGCTCACCGCTCTACATCTCGCGGACTTCGCCGCTCCGAGGCTCCTTCGCCTGCCGCAGCTGATGCGCCACCAGGCGCTGCGCTTTGACGCGCTGCTCCAAAAGCTGCTGCTCCTCACATGCCCCGTCACGCGGAGAAAAACACACACACATATAAATACAACTATATATTTATACATATATACATACATATACGTTTTTAAATATATATATATATATATATATAAATTTACGTATACATAAGTGAACACAACACGTATATTTGTATATATTATACATATTTGTGTATATATGTATAAACATACACATATATACGAAAACACACATTTGTATATACACATATCTATGTGTGTGTCTATATCTATGCCACCAATTAACATGGAACCTGACAGGGGAGTCCCGAAAGACCATTGTCCTTTTAAAGGGACCCCTGTCAGGCTCCATGTTATTTGATGGGAGGGTATATTGTGGTTGCCCCATTTTTTTCCCTTGAGGATGCTGGGTAGTGCTTTGAGGCGGGGTGGAACCCATTGTAGACAGGTACCTGGGTTGGTTCGATGGAATCACTAATCCGCACCCCATAGGAGGGAAACCACTAGCATCTGGCCAAAGGAACAAAACTGACTTTTGATAACCCCGAACTAGATACTCAATTCGAAATCCAACATAATACAACATATTCAAACACATATGTATGCATAATGCATGCATCACCGGGCCCCCCAATCTCTAATGAGCAAGGTCGACTTTTGCTAAGGGTGACCGTATTGCTAACCACTTGCTAGTATCACGGGGTCGGTGGATGATAGCTACAGAGCTTCCTTGCCTGGCTCGTTTCAAGCGCAAAATTGACTGATTCCATCTCCTTCTTTTGCCGCAGCTTCTCCCGCTTTGCCTCCTCTTCCGCCTCGCATGCTATTGGGAAAGGGAAGCTGTTTAAGGTCATGTTTCCAAATCCACAAGACAATCTATAATCACTTCGCCCAAGCAACAAACACATGTGCTGTGGCTAACTTGTTGCAGATCTGCCTGAAGCCAGTCGTTGTCAAGTGGGTAGCATCTGAAGCTGTGCGGAGGCCCGCGGCAAAAGTCATAAGATCTGCTTGCGCAGCGGTGCGTAGGCTCTTAGCCTCCGCGACTTTACGGGAGGCATGAGCCCTCACGTGGGGCTTGCAAACCTGATCCGATTCCTCGGCATGTTGGATCTGCACCAACTTTCTACAAGCAATGAACGGTAAGCTGGAAGGAAAAGCATGAAATAGACATGGGTTTGTTTC